TTATTATTTTGTCATATCTTGTCCTGTCTGACATCTCCCTTCACCCACTTTTCTGTTGTCCATCCCCCAGGAAGGAGGTCACATGTAGATCCTTGTAGTCGGTTCCCCCTTTCCAACCCACCCTCCCTCCATCCTCCCAGTATCGCAGCTCACACCACAGGTCCTGAAGGGATCATCCGCCCTGGATTCCCAGGGAATATTTTTGATGTAGGATTTAAAGATTATTCCCAGGCAATAATTTCAGGGATTTATCCAAGCCTCATGACTCCAGAAGGTCTGCTCTGCATTTCCCCCATTTTGATCAGGCTTCTTCTACCCAATCTCTGATCAAAATATTCTGACCTACTTTTAAAGCGATCACTCTGGATACCACGTTTAGAAAAGATTAAGGGGCAAAAATGAAAGTGGTGAGATAAGAAAAAAAGGATATTAATTAAATAATCCAGGTGAGAAATTTTGGATCAGGATAATTGCAGCAGAAGTAGTTAAAGATGGTTATACCTGTGTACTTATGTTTTAGAAGAGAACTTAAAGAACTTAAAGATCTGACCCATTCCACTAACCAGCTGCAGATGGGGTTCGTCCCATCTGCAAGGCATTACTAAAATGTTGTCATATTTATTTGCCAACATTTAAAAATCAGGGCAATGGTATCTCTCAGTAAATCAGCTCTGACAATCCAGAGTCTGCAGCTCGGCAAGAAAGCGTTGTGGGAGAGTCAGGGTTTCCCCCTTTAGGCTGTATGGGTGTTTTCCAGTTTAGCACAGTCTCCACCACACCCCAGCCTGTTTGCTTCTCTCATTTGCTCCTCCCCAGCTGCTACTGCAGGCATGGACTTGGCACTGAAAGGACTTGATGGCAGTGAGGAGGAGCCTAGTCCAAACGTCCCTGTGTGACCCAGAGCTCGTTTGTCTACTGACAGAGGCGGTTCATGATCACCCAGAGGATTTCTTGGGAAGAAAGTCTTGGTAATCTGCTCTGAAACGGTCACAGCCATGAAACCCGCTCGGAGAGCAGGTTCTTGTCGAAAACACACACAGTCACCATGAGTCACTACTGACTCGGCAGCAACTGAAAAGGAATCCTCCTCCGTTCTCTGTTCAGACGTGGGGGCCAAGGTAGAACAGAGAGACGACGGTGGGCTGGACATGGAGTGTGAACTCACTGACCAGAACTCTTGCATCCGGCGTGCTGTTTCTTCTGCACATGGGCTGGCCGGGCTGGCCTGGACTTAGATTCGGGTCTTCTCCAGGTTATATCTCACCCCAAGGTCCAGGCTGCAGGGGCAATGGCTGCAGGAGGCCATCTCTCCAGAGGGGCAACAGGCAGAAACTCGGGGGAGGTCAAGTCAAATCTCCCAAAACTGCATAAAGTGTTAGATCCGTCATGACATACATTACCCCTGCACACATCCTACCGTTCCACACCAAAGGGAATGTGGTGAAGAAGCATACTCCATTCCCAGCAAACCCAAGCAAGCCTAAGGAAGAGAGAAATGGGGGCGGAAAAAATGCCATCTATAGTAGGGGGAACCAGGAGAGCGGCTAAAAGGAAGGTTAGACTGAGACTTACGGTTGCGGTCATGGTTCGGTGTTATCAAGTCGGTTCCACCTCGCACCGACCTTACACACAACCCAACCAAACCCTGCCCAGCCCCGTGCCCTCCTCAGAACTGTTCCTATGCCTGAGCCCACTGTTGCAACCATTTTGTCATCCCATCTTGTTGCGGGCCTGCCTCTTTTTCGCACCCCCACCCCCACCCCTGCCCTTCTTTCCCACGCATGATGTTCTTCTCCAGGGACTGGTCTTTCCTAACAACACATCCAACATAGATGAGACAAAGTCTTTCCATCCTTGCCTCTACAGAAATCTAAAAGAGATCCCGTTGTCCTTGTAGCAGTCCATGGTACTTGACACTTCTCCAGCACCACCGTTCAAATGCATTCATTCCTCCTCGGTCTTCTTTATTCGATGTCCAACTTTCACATGCATCTGAGGCCATGAAAAATAGCATGGTTGGGTCAGGTGCACCTTAGTCCTCAAAGTAACATCTTTGCTTTTCAAATACTCTGAAGAGGTTTTGGTAGCTGATTTACCTAATGCAACTTGTATTTTGTCCTCTTGACTGCTGTTTCCATGAGCATTGATTGTGAATCCAAGCAAGACAAAATCCTTGATGATGTCAGTC